AGCTCCATTATGTTGGCATTTGGAGATATGAACTTTGGGGAATAACTAGGTTTAGGTGAAGCACATATGTAGTGTGTCCATGGTGAGATTTCTTCCTGGTGAAAAAAGCAGGAGAGGATGTACTGACTGGTTTTGTTTGTCAACTTGACACAAGCTGGAGTTATTACAGAGAAAGAAAGAAGCCTCCCTTGAGGCAATGTCTCCATGAGATCCAGCTGTAAGGCATTTTCTCAATTAGTGATCAAGGTGGGAGGGCCCCTTGTGGCTGGTGCCGTCCCTGGGCTGGTAGTCTTGGGTTCTATAAGAAAGCAAGCTGAGCAAGCCAGGGGAAGCAAGCCAGTAAGTAACATCCTTCCATGGCCTCTGCATCAGCTCCTGCTTCCTGATCTGCTTGAGTTCCAGTCCTGACTTCTTTTGGTAATGAACAACAGTGTAGAAGTATAAGCAGAATAAACACTTTCGTCCAACTTGCTTCTTAGTCATGATATTTTGTGCAGGAATAGAAACCCTAAGACCGAGGGAGATCACTGCGGGTCTGAATGTCTGTTTCTGTCTCTGAGCACCTAACCATGAAAGGACGTGCAAGAGCCCAGCAAGAAAACAGCTGTTTACAACCAGGGTCATAGGGCCTATCTGAGGCCAAATCTGAATCCACCTTGATTCCAGAATTTCCAGCCTTCAGCACAGTGTCATCCCAAAGAGGCTCTCTTCTCAGTAAGCCTCAGGTTAGCATGCAGTCTTACAGTCTCAGTAACTCTAAGCCAGGAAGATATTCATGAGATAGCCACATCAGGTTCTAGAACACATTGCACCATGGCTCAGTTACCCATCGTCTTGATCAATTCATATCTCTTCTCTTTTGTCCAAGAAGTCAAACTATGTCTCAAGTCCCATTCTATCAAGGCCATTCCATCTCAGCCCTCTTCAGGATGTAACATGGGCTTCCCACAAGAATGAATGATAAACTCTGTCAACTATGTTGGTGGAACACAAGACAGAGAGAACCCAGGCTTTGATGTCATTCCTTCCTTTACCAATCCTCAGTATACACTAAACTCTTCATTTAAAGACCCTCTACTTTCAAGCAGAAGAACAGACCCTGTGGATAGTTCCATCTGTCTTAGTTAGGGTTTCTACTGCTGCAGTGAAACACTGTGACCAAATGCAAAGTTGTGGAGGCAAGGGTTTATTTGCCTTACCCTTCCACATCATAGTCCATCATGGAGGGAAGTCAGGCCAGGAATCCAAACAGGGCAGGACCTTAAAGGCAGGAGTTGATTCAGAGATCATGGATGGGTTCTGCTTATTGGCTTGATCCTCATGGCTTGCTCAGCCTATTTTCTTATAGAACCCAGGACTACCAGCCCAGGGGTGGGGCCACTCACAATGGGCTGAGCCCTCTCCAGTCAATCACCAACTAAGAAAATGCCTGGGGCTAGAGAGATGGCTTAGTGGTTAAGAACACCATCTGCTCTTCCAGGGGTCCTGAGTTCAATTCCTAGCAACTACATGGTGGCTCACAACCATCTGTACTGAGATCTGATGCCCTCTTGTGGGGTGTGTCTGAAGACAGCAACAGTATACTCACATATATAAAATAAATAAATCTGAAAGAAAGAAAGAAAGAGAGAGAGAGAGAGAGAGAGAGAGAGAGAGAGAGAGAGAGAGAAAGGAAGAAAGAAAGAAAGAAAATGCCTTACAGCTGGATCTTACAGAGGCTATAATTTCCTTGACTGAGGTTTCCTACCTACAGATAACTCTAGCTGTGTCTAGCTGTGTCAAACCAGAACACTATCAACATAGTATACTTGTCTCAATTTTTTTGTTTGAGTTAATATTCTAAGGCTATTTCCCCGTGATTTGGTGCCTATGAGGTGTAAGCGCCCCAAACAAAAGTCATGACTGCTTGTTCATGTCCTAGGTGATACAGAGCACTTATGGACACTTGAAGACTAGTATGGATGTAATCTAGTAATTGGGTAAAACAATAGAAAAGAAATGGATGGGAGTAAAAAAATTGAAACCCTGAGGTGTCAACTGTCAAATTCTTAGGCTCTGGAGATACTCTAGCAATCTTTCCCTCAGAGGAAAAACTGTTCTGCTTTTATCTGCTGCTGCAACTCAGGGTCATATCTCATTTCACTATGATGAGCCTAAGCTACAAGCTAAGCTAACACTCTCAGGAGGTTCAGGTTTACACACTCTCCAGACAGCTCTTTTCTAAGCTAGCAATGTTTCTGCGGAGTTCAAACCCTTCAGATATATCCTCAGTTAGTCGGGTCACTGAAATGAAGGCTTGGAAAATGCATTGCTCTACAAGGACAAAGAGTAGGGCTGGAGGGATGGCTCAGCGGTTAAGAGCACCAGTTGTTCTTCCAGAGGTCCTGAGTTCAACTCCCAGCAACGACTTGGTGTCTTACAACCATCTATAATGAGTTCTAATGCCCTCTTCTGGCATGTAGGTGTACATGTAGATAGAGAACACATAAAACAAATAAATTGAACACAAAATAAAAACAAAATAAAATACAAACAGCCTTCCTATGAAATCTAGAGCGAGCTACATAGAAGAGTACATGGAAAGAGATTGCAAGATTTGCTAATTGTAGAATATGCCTTAAACTGAAACATGGACAGCTTCAACTCTTCTGAAACAACTGAATTCTAAGCTTTGTACATACAACATTACTTAAAATGATAATTAGGGACTAAGGAGATGGTGGTTCAGTTGGAAAATATCTGCCCACAAGCATGGGACCTGAAACTAGGGTGCCAGCACCCATGAACAAGACAGGTATGTTGATAACTGATGGACCGCAGTAACAGATATCCAACACATCAGCCTCTGCCTTTTACACACATGCCATTTCACCCATATGCAAATGTGCATACACATACACGAGAGACACACACAAATACAAATTTTAAAATGGTCAGGAGCCAGGCAGTGGTGGCACACACCTTTAATCCCAGCACTCAAGAGGCAGAGGTGGGAGGATCTCTATGAGTTTGAAGCCAGCCTGATCTACAGAGCAAGATCCAGGATAGCCAAGGCTACTCGGAGAAACCCCATCTCTAAAATAAAATAAAGCAACAATAGAAAATGACTAGGAATAATAGTAGTTACCTGTTTCTATAGTAACATCCATAGTAAGTCTATAAAAAACAAGACAGCTATTCCAAATGGATAATATGCAATCAACACTAACAACTAACACCTCCTGTTTTCTCTTTTCATCATTTGGATTCCCAACTTTATTCTTCTAAGCAGTGACAGAAACAATGTTTAATTTAAGATCATCTTCAGTGACATCAAAGGCCCAGACTGACTTATTTCTTAGAACTGAAATTTAAACAGCGACCTGATAAGAGTACTTCAGACTGTTTCAGACTAATCTAAAACAGACAATAAAAATGTCAATAAACGTTCATTTTAATGAAATTATAAAGGCTCCTGTTCTCATTTCATTTCTGCTGCTGCGGTAACACATCCTGACAAAAAGCATCATGGGGTGGAAAGGGTTTATGTAGCTTGCAATCTCAGGTTACATATAGTCCAGCATTTGAGGTAAGTCAGGGCAGGATGCCAAGCATCCAGTCACATGTCATTCACAGTCAAGAGCAGAGGAAATGAACACACATCCATGCCTGCTTACTACTTCTTCCTTTCTTCCCTAGCCTACAAGGCCATCTGTCCACCTTCCACCTTGGGGGGAGGGATCTTCCATCCCACCTCAATTAAAGCAGTCAAGACCATTTCCCCCACAAACATGCCCATGCCCACAAGCCAACCTGACCTAGGCAATTTCTCATTCTTGGTTGCGGCAAGTGCTATTTAAAACTTAACCAGTCAGGACTGGAAAGATGGTCAAGAGCACTGGCTGCTCTTCCAGAGAACCCAGGTTCAATTTCCAGCAACTACACGGTGGCTTACGACGGTCTGGAACTCCAGTTCCACAGGATCTGGCACCCTCACACGGCAAACACATACACAGGAAAATCACCAAGGCACATAAAATAAAGATAAATTAAAAATGTACTAAAAACAACAACAACATAGCCCCATAATGTAAACAAATAGTGAGGTTCAATAACCCTTGCCACACACATACACTCACACACAAACACACCCCTCTTAAGACATTAGCCCAGACCATCTAAGCTCTCCTTATTTTAATGTCTTCCACATTCATCTTTTGGACTGCCACCAATTGTATAACCAATGCTAGTATTCAAATCTCTGTAGTTTAAAGACAAGCTTAGGAGGAGGTACAACTTAAGTTCATCTAAAAGGCAGGCCACACGGCAGATTCTTCACATGGGCTATTGTCCTCTTCCCAGGACTGTTCCAGTGATCACACACACCAGGGCGCTTCCAGGTTAAAAAGTTACAGAGTCAAAGAAGCATCAGTATTGTGTACAGAGAACAAAAGCCCTGACCACAAAATGCCCTCTACCTGTGAATGACCAAACCTCCCTTTCTCACACTAATCTCTTGGTACTGGAACAATTAATCATGGAACCAAGTCTGGACACGTCTGTCCTTGCTCTAAGAAGTGTCAAAGTTGCTTTTTGGTGGTGGGTGGAGAAGAGGTAAATTCTTAAGTGACACAACCAACAACAGCCAGGTGATCATTAACCTCTCATTTCATGACAAAGAACTTGCATTTTTACTCTAAGTTTTGCTCTCTCTCGTGGGTATACACATGAATGCATGTCCATGCACAATTTGAAACAATGCATTGCTCTAGGCCAAACAAAGCAAGATAAAATGGATAAAAGCAACCAGGTAGAAAAATTCAATTTTGTTTCTCACCCGGTTTAAACACACACACACACACACACACATCTTTGTAAATGCTATATAAATATTTTCTGCCCCTGTATAGTCATTGCTTCTGAACCTTATACTGTACAGTGCTGACTATCTTCCGTATAGTTGGCATGATCATTAAGAAACCAAGAGAGGCAAATCAATCCTCCCCACGGTCAACACTCACCTACAGGAAAGTCATTCGGCTGGACCACATTGAGGAAGATGTGAACCATTTGGTAGAGAGGGCCAACAATCCCAGCATTGAAGGTGTCTTGGGTCTCATATTCTGTGGTAGGCAATTCATAATTCAAAGCCCCAGGAGTGTTGTCGAATGCAGGCTGACTTCCTGAAGAGATCTTTCCACACAGCCCCAGTAACAGCAGGACACTGAATTTAAGAGCCATAGTTGGCCTGATCTCCCAAGCATGAGGTACTTTCTGGAAACTCAAGGGAAATGGGCCTTTCCTGGACATGTTGGAATCTTCTGCCTCCTGGCTGGTAACAAGGGAAACAGACGAATGGTCTCCAAGGAGGTCATTCACTCAAGGTACCATCCCTGGTAGGGAGAGAAAGAACACGGGTTACTCAGAGACAACCAATTACCCCAGGAGCCCACCCCAGAGGAAGTGACAAGGTTTAGAATTAAACACTTAGGCCTAACTAGGTGGAAACCAAGCACACAGCCTGCTCCAGAGCTACAGGTAGGGACTAGGAGGAGGCTCCTTCCTCCAAGATAGGATGATTCGAAGACAGTCCTTTCTGGGGTCGAGAAACACCAGGCACAGTTCAAGAAGCTGTTTATTCTTGGAAACAGACGTTCATCAAAAAGTCACTGTATTCCAGGTACATCCTAAATGCTTTTAAGCCATAATCCCACTTTCTAGATGACGGAACATGTGGAGAAAGAATTTTAGTAACCTGCACAAGTTACCAGGCAGTCGCAGTATGGCCAGAATTTCAACTCAGTATTTTCCCTTAGAGTCCAAGCCCTAACCAGAACAGCAGGGCTCTGATGCTTTAGCTAACCCTCCCAAGCTCCGGCTGGTGCTGCAGAGGCCCCAGCCACGGAATAGTGCTTAGCTTGTCTGAATTTTTGTTGCCCTTCTTACACTGAAGGTGCTGTTTCCGTACAGCCTGTTGGCAAACAGATCATATTCCAGCATCCATCATTCCATCTAACCTAAGCCTGAAGGGCATGACCTCAAGGTCATGAACAAATAGAAATTAAAATCAGCTTTTCTAATAAGCTCATCAGGTCATCCTATGGGACACTTCCATTCCAAGACACAGTCTCCAATGACTAGGCACCCAGGAAGTGAGAGGCAGGGCCAAAAGAGGCTTCCTGTCCACCCTTGAAGAGATGGTAAGAAACAAGAATCCTAATGATGGTCACCACTGTCATGTCTGGGGAGGCAGGGGGAATAGCAGTGATGAGAGGAATGTGGTTTCTTTCTATTCTAACAGAAAGCATCTCTACTTAGCAGATAAGTATATGAAAGAAAGAATCCCAAACACCTGACTTCTTAACACCAATTCTCGAGTGTAAATACATCAGCCAGCAACCTAGTTGTACTAGATCTAGCATGCACAGCCCACCAGTGTCTTGTGAGGAGACTTCACTGCAGCCTTGGTTCTGAACACACAACACACAAGCTTTGCTCTGAAGATGCCTTCCCTCATGCCATGAAACACGAATGACCACTGCCAGAAGTGCCTTAGTTCAGATTCCAGACTGCCGCACCTTCTGGAGGGCAGTGTTTTTACTAACACACATACAGTTCTGTTCTCATAGAAACATGATGGTTTAATTACAGAAAACAAGGACCCTTGATATTTTCCTTACCGCCTTTCCTCAGCATGCTGCTTCATATTAGTGTATCTTTGGGTTGTACTGTGTTAAACAAATAAACAACCGCTCTCACTGCATTGGCATGCAAATTTGCTTTAAGTAAATGGTAAATTGTATAGATGATAAAATTTGTTTTAAAACAAAATTATCATCTACTATCAGTAAGCATTTGATATGTGTACCTAGGTTTCCAGATTTGCATTAAAAAGTTCTTGGGTAAAGGAGTCGGAAGTGTCTTGGTCTAGAAGATAGGTTTTTATGTTTTGCCCTAGATATATACTAACTTTCAGGGTAAGTACAAAGTTCACTGGGAAGGGAACACTGGGACAATCAAGAACTCCCTATATTTCAAGTCAGATCCGACTGAGAGAAGCTCAGGAAGATGAGAGCATAAAATGCAGGACAAGACACACTATCAAAGTTTAAAGCAAGTGCACATTAAAACTAGCTTCCTTGAGCAGTCTGGATGAAGAAGTCTTGCTTCCTTCTATAGCTACCATCTTGCACTGATTACTTCTGTACAGAGTTAAAATAGAATGTCTCTGAAGTCTTTCTCCAGCAACTTACCAGCTGCCTTAGATCTCCAGGTGGTTCCTGGGATCAAGCTCCGACACAGCCACAGTGTGCCCTATGACCCTGATGATGGCTCCCAAGGGCTCCC